TTTTTCCCTCTTCAGAACTCTCTCTCTCAGTTACCAGTATCGGTAAGTCATCATCTCCCCACCTCTGTACCCCTCATAAAAGATTGAGCTTGGTTTGAATTCTAACCCTCGATGAAAACAAGCTGACTTGTCTCGCGAAGGCGACAATTTATTCGGGTTTTAATAGTCTGCATAGGACTTCGAATATCTCAAAAATGTCCACTCCCACTCTTATCTTCACAAGCTCCGACGGCGTCGACATCACTGTCGGTAGGTGCATTCATCACGATATATAGCCCTTTACCGAGACGAGATATATGACTTCTCTTTTCAATCCCGGAATAGCAGGCTCGATACTGATCTGTTGTCCTGTCATTAGACCGTGATGTCGCCGAACGCTCGCTGCTCATCAAGAACATGCTCGAAGACTTGGGTGAAACTGGAGAGCCCATCCCCATTCCCAACGTGAGTCATCTTGGCCCGGCTACCAGACTTAACTTTCAGTAATTTTAATGCGATGGGACCTGACTTATTGGCTGTAGGTCAACGAAGCCGTTTTGAAGAAGGTCATTGAATGGTGCACCCATCATAAGAACGACCCTCCCAGCACCGGCGATGACGATGACTCCCGCCGTAAGACTACGGATATTGATGAGTGGGATCAGAAGTTCATGCAAGTTGACCAGGAAATGCTTTTCGAAATTATTCTGGTACGTGTTATCTTAGTTTAACTTGTCTTGACAGAGGTTCTGAAACTAAATCCCAATGAAATAGGCCGCCAACTACCTTGACATCAAGGGACTACTTGATGTCGGCTGCAAGACCGTTGCAAATATGATCAAGGGCAAGTCGCCTGAGGAGATTCGAAAGACTTTCAATATCCAGAACGATTTCACACCCGAGGAGGAAGACCAGATTCGTCGCGAAAATGAATGGGCTGAGGAGTAAGTGCCCGAAGATTCCCAGGTTTTACCTATACATAACCTGCCTTCCTTTGGAATATTCCCTGAATGCTAACTGCTCTCTGCTATAGTCGCTAAATACGCTGCTGGCCGATGTTGGCCTTGCGTTGCTCTTGGAATCCTACCCCAAGTTTCATGATCTGTTCCAGGAGGCTAGCAGCTCTCCATAATCTTTCTGCTTGAATTTCATCTGGTCCATTGGTCTTTTCTTCTACTCTACGGCGTTAGGAATTTTATATCACCATCGCTTTTCTTTTCAATTAGCTGGTTTTGTACTCTTGAAGGCTGGGGTTAACCGTAGGCAGTTTGACAACCGGATTATGAGGGAGCTGTTCTATCGAAAAGAATATCATTATTTGGCATACAGGTATGCGATCGGGGCTCTCGATAAGTTGACTATCTACGTAACACCAATTACCTCGATTTGCATAGACTAGAGACCTACATAGCAAGAGCATATGACGCAATAGATAAGGGCAAACTTGACAACACGCTGCCTTAAGAGGCATATGCCACTGCAGGTGTAAAGCAACGAGACAAAATACATCCGATTACACTACTATAAGCATGAGATACGTTGCAGTGGCTTCTGGTGTCTTGAAACGTTCACTCAACCCTGTCACTCTCCAAACTGATTGCACAGTCCAGCTCGCAAGTACTAAGACATACTTTTGCGGACGTATTAAAATAGAGGTGTGAAGGTAGGTAGCGTAGTCCATTGATACCTGCGATTCGCGAACATGCTCCCTTCAATTGTCTTCATGTTTTAAGGAGTGATTTGTGAGATGTCCCTGAAAATTCTTCGTTCACTGCTCATTATCCATCATAATTTTTATTTTGTCTCAGCTCGTGTACATAATTTGCAAGTACGTTCTATCACAGAACCCGACACCGCTTCCGATTCGATCATTGTCCGTATGTCATCCTGAAAGCCTCGAGAGTTATCAAGATGAGATATGTTTGCCGGAATTCCGAACATAGATCAAAGTTTGGCGAAAAGAAAATGTTGAAGCGGGCCGGATCCAGGACGCAGATTTATCATCGCGAGCAACGTTTTCGGTATCACAGATGAACGAAACAATCGGGGATAGACATCTCGGTCGAAGGAGAGGTTCCAAATTTACAGACCAAGACGAGTCTTGCGCCAGTGCCTCCGCTTGGCGTTGTATCTAGGAATTGCCTTGTCAGCATTACATGTCCTTCCGATGTGTCGAACTCAACCACCGAGTAAATATCATCCTTCCCCTCTCCTAAATGACAAAGAAAGTGATGGGGTTCCGACGAAGCAGTGTGAGCATGTCAACTCCATACACGTTTCAAAACCAGTTGCTATTCTGTTCCAGCTGATCGAGGGTCCTGAAAGGAATAGATGTAATTACCTGATGGTGTTACCGGTCCTGAGACGAATCCACTGGGGGATAGGACGGTTCTGTCTCTGAGCTTTGGCAAGCTTCTGCTTGGTGCGGAAACTCTTGTGGCTCTAATCGAAGAAATTGAGCGTTAGCAGCAGTCACATAAGCCTCTCATCCATATCGGCCAAATGATGTGGAAATATATCACCCGAGTACAGGCTCCAGGTTTGGCTCAGGGGGTGCTAACCGGCATCTTGAAGGCTTGTCGCGACGGCGAGCTAAGTGTATGGACTGGCGAGAATGAGGTTGTCGACCGTCTTCAAGCGCCTCTGGTAGTAGTGGTTTTTTTGTGCGGGCAGGGCTTAGCGTTTCGCTTCGGGAAGGTCATGTGATTTATGCCTGAGGCAAGTATACTCCAAATAACTGAAGAACTCGGACCAACTGGTGAACCTCTGGAGTATGGACATGGCAGTTGTTCAACGCTTTGGTCTGATCTATAATAGGGTATATTTCAATAATCACCAGATGACCGATTCATAACTTGGAATTTATCTAGATTACTGTGCAACATACAGCGTATGCTTGAATGGGATGACATGACGGATAATCAATCAACTATACCAAGTCCCTGATGCTCAATCTTCTAAGATCTACCACTTATGTGTGTTGTAATTATAAGATGAAGCACAATTCTCTTAACCTATCACATTGTGCGGACGATATCACAGTTTACCATTTGCTTCTCTCTCCTCTTCTGTTCTCCTCTCCCTTTGAAGAAGATTGGCTGAGGTTTATTCTTTCTTCTGTTCTTTAGTTTATTGGTGCATGTATGAGAATGAGCGACTGACGATTGATTAGATACACTTTACCATGCTGGAGCCTTTCTCTTTTGTTTCTTTCTTTAGTTCGAGAAAAAGAACAAAAGAGGTGTATTACCTATGCATCTATCTTGAGCGCTTTGTTTAAATTAATATCCAATTACCCAAGGAAGAGTGATATACTACAGTGCAGAACGGCCAGCCGCAAATTTATTGAGTCAAAACATCTAACCTTAGCAGGCGTTATTTCAACCTTACATGCGACCGGCGGACAGATTCACTCAGATCGACGATCGCTCAAAAAGAGAAAAAAAAAAATTGTAGGTACAGAGTACATCTTGATAGTGGGAGTCCCCATTCAGCATACTGTACTCCGTACTAAGTACTAGTCGACCTCAAGAGGCGAACCAATGACATGTAAAAATTTGATTCCTGATGTCGGGAATTGGAGACCCCGAATGTCCGACAACCATGGGGTCCATTAACGCCGCTGCGAAGTCGACTAGTAACCTGACTGTCACTCCCAGGCACAGAAACACCCCGAACCCCGCCGTAAGATTGTCGAAAAGAATTTTTGGATGATTGGCTTGTTCGTATAGCGTTGCCCAAAGTTGCCTAGTAAACCCCTCGGGAGGCTCTAAAAGCAGTATAGTAGAAGCTAGACTCAAGAGAGAGGGTTAGGCACTCCGACTCCGTCGGTAAGTTGCTCTGTATGAATCATTGTCAAGAAGCGGGCCATAGTTTACGACTCCTTCTAGCATAATTGAAGCTTGGCCATTGGCACTAACCTTAGGCATACATCGCAACGTCGTTAGCTTCATAATCTGGATCCATGGCAATTACTCATGATTCGTATTTTTAGCTTTTCGTACTGGTCCAGAGATTTTTGAGGTGGAATTACGTACTCCGTAGTGTAGTCTCGGAGGACGCTGAGTTGAGTCAGGCAGATGCCTATAACAGGTTTTAACGAAACCTACCATTTTATGTGTGTATCAATGTGATTGATTTGTTCATCGGGCCCGTGGACCCATGGAATCCGGGACACCGAGGAGATTTGACCTACCTGACCTAATACGTACTTCGAAGCTATCGCAGAGAGTAGGTACGTAGTACTCTCTGGCTCCGTGTGCCGCCTACCATAAACCCTCTAGAATCAAAGCAATACTTATGCAAACTTTGACAGAGGGCTATCCTATACGGTAATTTTGTGCTAGAAGACGGAGTAGATCATGATAGTAATATTTTAGTGTGACATATGACCAGCTGAGTAGATTATTATCACAGTGATTGCTAATATCGGGAGCTTTTCCTTTTCCTTTTTCCTTTCCTTTTTTTTCACGACGGAGTACTGTTCTCCCAATCTTCATGATGTGGCTAATTGTGGTTAATTTAAGTCTGCATAAAACGCTCGGGATGTCGGGACTCCGATAAGAGATCAAGATTAAATAAATACCACCAAAAAGGTATGTACCAGTCTTACCCTCACGGGCAACCAAATCCGTGGAGGTCTCTGAATATCCCCCTTTCTCCCTTTGACACTCTATTGACTCTTCCCCTTTCCCTCCTTTATTCTGATCCTTATATAGTTTATTCAAAAGTAGCCTCTAATAACTCAAAGATTCGTTTTTCCCCTTCACTGTACCCTTGGGATAACAGTTTATCTCCCCCCTTCCTTGTTCACACGCATAAGGCATCGCGCGTCCAACGTTCCAGCTAGTTTTGGTGGAAACACTCGCAGCTCTTCAATTGACGATCCATCATTTGTACAGCTCATAACAGGCGAATTAATCCGAACTGGTCTTCATCCGTCTTCATGGAGTAAGGTGATTATTAGGACCCTTGAGCGATTATACACAGACTGAGAACTCAGTCTCGCTTCTTCAAGCAAAATGAAACCAATAGAGAAAGCTGGTGGTTCTTCCCCAGCTACTGCTCTTGAAAGTGAGAAGTCTGTTAGCAACTCTACTTCCGACTCAACGATAGCTCCGCCAACGGGCAAGCAGCAGGGTTCCCGTCCTCCATCCTCCCATAAGAGTGATAGAGACCATGACAATGATGATGATGCTCTTTATTCTCATCTACCAGAACATGAGAAGCAGATTCTGAAGAAACAGATTGACGCGGACGAAGTGAAAGTGTCGTTCTTTGCTCTTTTCCGCTATGCATCTAGAATGGATGTACTCGTCATGTTCATAAGCGCGATTTGTGCCATTGCTGCCGGTGCAGCACTACCGCTGTTTACTGTTTGTCTTAACTAGGACCTTGCACTAAAACTATACACTGACCACTCGTTAGATCCTTTTTGGTTCTTTGGCCTCAGCTATGTCAAACAGGGTGGCAGATCTTATTTCATATGATGAATTCTATCACCAATTGACAAAGAATGTCTTGTACTTCGTATATCTCGGTATCGCTGAATTTGTCACGGTATATATCAGCACTGTTGGATTCATTTATACTGGGGAGCATATCAGCCAGAAGATCCGCGAGCATTATCTTGAGTCCATCCTGCGGCAAAACATGGCTTATTTTGATAAACTGGGTGCTGGTGAAGTGACCACACGCATCACCGCCGACACAAACCTTATCCAGGACGGTATCTCCGAGAAAGTTGGACTTACACTTACGGCCATCTCCACATTTGTCACCGCCTTTATTGTCGCATATGTCAAGTATTGGAAACTGGCGCTGATTTGCAGCTCGACGATTGTCGCCCTTGTGTTGGTCATGGGGGGTGGATCTCGCTTTATTGTGAAGTACAGCAAGAAATCTCTGGACAGTTATGGTGCTGGTGGCACTGTTGCGGAGGAGGTGATCAGCTCCATTCGGAATGCCACTGCATTCGGCACCCAGGATAAGCTTGCCAAGCAATACGAGGCTCATCTGGCAGAAGCAGAAAAGTGGGGGGTCAAGAACCAACTCATACTTGGCTTCATGATTGGCGGAATGTTTGGTATCATGTTCTCCAACTATGGCCTTGGCTTTTGGATGGGCTCCCGGTTCCTCGTTAATGGAGAGGTTGATGTTGGTCAGGTCCTCACTGTATTAATGGCAATTTTGATAGGCTCCTTCAGTCTGGGAAATGTCAGTCCGAACGCTCAAGCATTTACGAATGCTGTGGCAGCAGCTGCCAAGATCTATACTACAATTGATCGTCCTTCACCATTGGATCCATACTCGGATGAAGGAGAGACACCCGATCACGTTGCAGGCAACATTGAGTTCCGCGACGTCAAACACATCTACCCTTCGCGACCTGAAGTGACAATCATGGACGGTGTTTCCTTAACAATGCCTGCCGGTAAAACTACAGCCTTAGTAGGCCCTTCAGGCTCTGGAAAGAGTACTGTTGTTGGGTTGGTCGAGCGTTTTTACTTTCCTGTTGGTGGTCAAGTATTTCTAGATGGCTATGATCTACAGAGCCTTAACCTTCGTTGGCTGCGTCAGCAAATCTCGTTGGTTAGCCAGGAGCCTATCCTTTTTGGCACTACGATCTACAAGAATATCCAGTATGGACTTATTGGCACGAAATATGAGAACGAGTCAGATGAAAAGATCCGTGAACTGATCGAGAACGCGGCGAGAATGGCCAACGCCCATGACTTCATCAGTGCTTTGCCAGAAGGGTACGAGACCAATGTCGGCCAGCGCGGATTCTTGCTATCTGGTGGTCAAAAGCAGCGGATCGCCATTGCCCGTGCCATCGTCAGTGACCCAAAGATTCTTTTGCTTGACGAAGCCACATCTGCATTGGATACCAAATCAGAAGGTGTTGTTCAAGCTGCTCTTGATAAAGCTGCAGAGGGTCGAACCACTATTGTTATTGCTCATCGCCTATCGACTATAAAAACTGCCCACAATATTGTTGTCTTGGTCGATGGGAGAATTGTAGAGCAGGGCACACATGATGAACTGGTCGATCGCAAGGGTACCTACAATAACCTTGTAGAGGCTCAGCGCATCAAGGAAGAGAAGGACGCAGAAGCTCTAGATGATGAGGTTGAAGATGACGACGAGTTACCCAAAGAGGAAATGTCTCGTATTAAGACTGCTGACAGTGGTTCGGCTTCGGTTGTGGACGTTGGAGACGAAAAGGTTTACTCTGGAATCGGACGTTCTGCCACCCACAAGTCGATATCAAGCGCTGTTCTCTCCAAGAAGAGCCCGGAACAAACCCACAAATACTCGCTGTGGTCACTGATTAAATTCATTGCTTCTTTCAACCGCCCTGAACTAAACTATATGCTGATTGGTTTGGCTTTTTCGATACTTGCAGGGGGTGGTCAACCCACCCAGGCAGTCCTTTACGCCAAAGCGATCAGCTCACTCTCTTTGGGTGCAGCAGGCCCGAGCACGTATGGCAAGCTCCGTCATGATGCGAACTTCTGGTCTCTGATGTTTTTTGTTGTTGGAATTGCTCAATTCATCAATCTTTCTATTAACGGTGCCGCATTCGCTGTCAGTTCCGAGAGACTTATTCGCCGTGCGCGAAGCCAGGCCTTTAGAACGATTCTTCGTCAAGACATCACCTTCTTTGATAGAGAGGAAAACAGCACTGGCGCCCTAACTTCTTTCTTATCAACTGAAACAAAACATTTGTCGGGTGTCAGCGGTGTAACTTTGGGCACAATTTTAATGACTAGCACAACTCTTGGGGCAGCAATTGTGATCTCCCTCGCAATCGGGTGGAAATTAGCCTTGGTCTGTATTTCTGTTGTCCCAGTACTTCTGGCATGTGGATTTTACCGTTTCTACATGCTTGCTCAGTTCCAGCACCGTTCCAAAATTGCCTATGAAGGGTCTGCGAGCTACGCTTGTGAAGCAACATCAGCTATCCGCACTGTAGCCTCGCTAACCCGAGAACGGGATGTGTGGACAGTATATCACACCCAGCTGGAAGCTCAGGGGAAGAAAAGTCTAATCTCTGTTTTGAAGTCTTCAATCCTTTATGCCTGCTCACAGGCCCTAGTTTTCTTCTGTGTTGCGCTCGGCTTTTGGTATGGTGGCACTCTCCTCGGTAAACATGAATACTCGGTTTTCCGCTTCTTCGTCTGCTTCTCTGAAATCCTCTTCGGTGCACAGTCTGCGGGGACTGTATTCTCATTTTCCCCAGATATGGGCAAGGCGAAGAATGCCGCAGCTGAATTCAAAAGGCTGTTCGACAGGAAACCGGCTATTGATACATGGTCGGAAGATGGTGAGAAACTAGAGTCCATGGAAGGTTCAATTGAATTCTGTGACGTGCATTTCAGGTACCCGACTCGTCCTGAACAACCAGTTCTCCGGGGTTTGAATTTGACCGTAAAACCCGGCCAATATGTTGCTCTCGTTGGTCCCAGTGGATGTGGAAAGAGTACTACCATTGCGCTGCTTGAGCGTTTCTATGATGCATTGTCCGGATCTGTTCTTGTGGATGGCCGGGACGTTACCCAACTCAATGTTAATTCATACCGAAGCTTTTTGTCGCTGGTTAGTCAGGAGCCGACCTTGTATCAAGGCACTATCAAAGAGAATATCTTGCTAGGCGTTGATCAAGACCATATTCCGGAAGAGGCAGTGGTTAAGGCATGCAAGGATGCCAATATCTATGATTTCATTATGTCTCTTCCGTAAGTGCCATTTCAAACCTCCCAGTCGAGGTTTACCCCCTTCTAGGCAACTCTCGTACGGTTTTACTGACGATATATCTACAGGGAGGGAATCAACACCGTGGTTGGCAATAAAGGAGGCATGTTATCTGGTGGGCAAAAGCAACGAGTTGCTATTGCCCGCGCTCTTCTCCGTGACCCCAAAGTCCTCCTTCTAGATGAAGCTACCTCGGCTCTCGACTCTGAATCCGAAAAGGTTGTACAGGCAGCGCTGGATGCCGCCGCTAAGGGTCGAACTACAATTGCAGTTGCTCACCGACTGAGTACCATCCAGAAGGCCGACGTTATCTACGTGTTTGACCAGGGCAAGATTGTCGAAAGCGGAACACACCAAGAACTGGTCCGTAACAAAGGCCGTTACTATGAACTAGTCAACCTACAAAGTTTGGGCAAGGATCACTAATTCTTAATATTTTATACATACTTTCTAAAATACCCTATCATGATCTCGAATGCTCCTATACACCGACACGGAATCGTGTTGACATGATGTGTTTATGATATCCTGTGCCTGAAGTTCATATACACTTCTCATCTTCTATTTTCTCCCCTCTCGCATTTATCATATGTATGACGCATAGACTATTGGTGAGGGTGTGTTGGCGTCTCAAAATAGGAAAGGAATAAAACACGGAACAAAAAGAAAAAGAAAAAAGGATTCTGCTACATTGATCATTCAAGACAAGAAATATTTCATACACGTAATAGAAACATAGCCTAAGGACAAGAAGAGAGAAGATAGGGATCTCGAGTAGAGGGGTAATAATTTGTTAAACACAGGCGGTCTTTTTCTTTTTCTTTCTTTTTTTGTGCGTACTATAAGGACTCTGAGATTAAAAGCGTTCAACAAAATGAATGCCATAGCATCCAGACAATACAAGATTTGTAAAAACTCACAGTTCACACAGTATTCAATCCCGATCACTGACCCCATATTCTCTCTGCACTTCAATCTGGCGCACTCCACGCGCATCAGCAATAAGGCCTGTCAGGCCTTGCCCAATATCTTTAATTTTATTATATTCATGGAGAAGATGAATATGTCGCTGGACAGTCACACAAGGGGCGTTCCTATATTTACTCTACTGTTACGCATCATCCTTGTAAGATTTGTGCCGACGCCATGGTGTCCATACTTTAATCTAGCCTTTATTTCGGCCAGTTGAGCTTCCATACGTGCCACTTCAGCCTCCAAGCCGGCGACGGAGGTATAAAGGGACGCCTGAGAATCCGTCAGTTTTTACTGTTGACTTTTCGACTAACTTTCACTTCCAGAAAAGAAAGGTTAAAGCAAATTAAAAGGCCACATACTAAACGCTTTTCCCTGTATGTCTGTTGCTCATAGGTAAAAGGTAGTTTGTTACCGTTTTCGGTTGCGACTATTTTATCCCCGGACGTCATGATATTTAATTAGCCTGGTCCACTGGTAAACCACCGAAGGTCACTAACCAGGAGAATATTATGGTTGTAGTATGTATGATATGGATATCAGGCACACACCAGAGACTTTCTGCTAACCAAACTGAGGTTAGTGCGGGAACTAAGAAGTGGAGCCTGGCCCCGCCAATCCGGGACGGCCGATTTGCGTCTTTCCCCGACTATCCGCCTCTTATCCTTTGCCCAAATCGACCTCCATCTAAAGTTCCTTCCCTCCCCTACCTTCTCCCTCTCATTTCAGTTACTTCGCAGCATCGTGAAGATGATGCTGAGTAAACTAGACCCGCGGGGGTTACTCGCTGTGCTACTTCTGGTCTCACCCGCACTGGCCCATGGTGGCCATGAAAATGTTCCCGAGGAGCCGTTAACTCGGGGGACCCCATTGTACGTGACTTAGACGATAGACCGACCAATCCTATCGGACCAGACTGACGGAGGTGACAGGACTCAACTTTATGGGTGCACATGATTCTGATGGGATTTGCCTTTGGCATCATATTTCCACTGGGAATGGTTCTAGGGGTATGTCTTACTTTTTTCTCCGGTCGGTGCAACAACTCATCTAACCTTATATGTGTATGTTTGCAGATTGTACGTTCACGATGGCATGTTCCTCTCCAAATAGTTGGCACGATAATCGCAATCGTAGCCTATTTCCTGGGGCATGCCCATAAAGGCCGCCAATTCTCAAAGAACATTCACGCATCTTTCGCAAACATCTTGATGCTTATGATGGTAGTACAAGTTGTAATTGGTTTTTACCTTAAGCTACACCTTTCCAAAGGTATCCATGGACGCATTCGCCGGGTTATGGTTGTTATACACGGCATCATTGGCAAGGCGATGCCAGTTGTTAGTTGGGTTCAGATGTTGTTTGGCGGCATAACTGCAATGGGCTTTTGCCACGATGATCATCTGGGACAATGTTTAGCCCACTTTATCATGGGCAGCGCCTTCATTGCCTACGGAATCATGCTCACCATCCTTCTTCTTGTCGGCCAGTTTTGGCTACGTCGCTCTGGCCGAAGCCAGGAATTCTTCGACTCGTTGATTATTGCCGCCTGGGGATGTGTCAATACTTTCACAGAGCATCGATGGGGAAGTGACTGGAGCCATAACGATCTGCAACACACTACTATGGGAATTGTCTGGTGGTGTGCTGGCCTTTTGGGCATGTGGCTGAGTCGTAAACGCAACGGTCGACCAAAGCGGAATTTGATCCCAGCTATTGTCATTCTTCTAACTGGCTATGCCATGTCTGCCCATCCGCAGTTCTTGGAAATTAGCACAATGATTCACACTATCTTTGGCTATACACTGATGGCGGCCGGTCTAACAAGAATCATTGAGATTTCCTTTGTCTTGAAGGATCGGGGCACTTTGAGTTTGGATGGCTCGGAACCCAACAGCTTCCAGTACCTGCCCCCATTCGTAAGTATTCTGGTTTTATTGTGGCGCAAATTGCCCGAAAGAGGATCTGTTTTGGCTAACTCTATGTAGCTCTTGTATGCTTCGGGCTTTCTCTTCATGGGCGCCACAGAGGAGCAGATGCAGCTCTTGCATGACGCAGGAATCACGCATGTATCATACGTTTTGATCTTGTACAGCATCGCCTTCATTCTCTTCCTATGTATGTTGAGCATTTCTAGACATTCTCTGCCGTTTTACTCATCCTAACATGATATCTAGTTGTCAACATTCTCCTCCACATATATGCCGTACATGCATGGCCCGACTCTGCGAAGACCTCGCCTGCTCGCTCCTCTAGCGAGGAAGAGATCACTCCAGACGCGACTCAAGTAAACGGCGGCTTTCTCAACGGCCATGTTCGCTCAAATTCCGAAGTACAGCACATTCATGATGCAGAGGCCTACGAGCTAGAAGGCCTGATATCTGATGAGGAAGATGACAGTAAAGCAGCTGGCGACAGCCATACCATGGGTTCCAAAAGGGTCACTGATGAGGAGAGTTCTCCTTTAGTCGGAAAAGAGACCACGAGAGGTTGATAGTATGAGCCTCCCCGAGAAGTGGCCTTTTGTGTATTAAGTCCGTCTGATTCACATTCTTTCCAATTTTCTTCCAGAATCAAGTTGTATATATAAAAGAAGATCATAATACGTTCATTTGGTCTATCATACAAATCGTAATCATGGCCTAAACGGCGAGGAATCTTAATGGCAGACAAAACAAAACATGGGGATCTTATAGAATACAAGATGTTAGTCATCATTAACGTCTAATGTTTCTCCTCTCCTCCTATTCAGATGTTTGCTCCTGAGGGAGGAATCATTTGTTGTTGCATTGTAAGATTGCCGTTCAAAGGGATCGGATTCGCGGCAGGAGGAATGGCGGGCATGACATTCTCGACTTCTGGAGGAAAGAATGGGTGCAGGGGGTAGATAGGAGCGAGAGATTTTTCGCCGTCAAAGAGCAAGAGGTTCTGTATAGGTTGCTCTCTGACGCTCAATACATTAATCACGTCCTGGGCTAACCTACCACCGACAACGGCGGCAACGGGGCTTAGTTCACTTCCGAGATTCTGCAAAAAGGTGCGCAAGAACTCCGAGTCGAGGGTGCTGATATCCAATTTCAATTCTTGATGGCCGTCACGGGCGAGTTTAGTGAAGAGCTCTAGGTCTTGACGAGAGAAAGTTGGCATACAACCTCCGGATAGCTTTTGGAACTCCCACAGCGCTCGGAGACAAGTGAGGAGTGGCGTGACCTGTCGCCGTTTCCGTGGCAGACGAGTGAAGTCTTCCGGGAGGGGAGATGTGTTTGCCAAAATCAGAGGCGAGTATGTCTCTCGCTTGGTAACCATCTCGATAACTTTATCGTTTTCCTTCTTCGTCGTAATACCAACTATGCTTCGCGTTGGAGTCTCTTGGGTAGCTGAAGGGACATTTGACTTGGATCGTTCGATAACAAAATCGTGTGAAATTAGATCTGCGAATACGAACCCGTAGAACCCGTGCAACCCTGCTGCGTAGAATGGACGGTTTGCGATGCGGCATGCGGCATTTATGGTAGTGTACATTGCGAAGTCCAGCTCTGTTGCAATGACGACATCGAATTGTGCAAAGAAGTCGGGTTGCTTCGTCTGTATGTCATCTGTATCGATACAAAGCTGAACTCTTGGGTTCATTGCATGAATTGACGGGGCTGCCGCTTGCGCGCGCTTAATTCACGGTTAGCATGTCCCCTTTTCCTTGTTCTCCAGCAAAGCGCAGCCTACATTCTGCCCTATATGTTCTTCCATGACAAAAAATTGGGCGCTCAAATCTTCCTCCTTGGCGGTCTCATGGTCAACAATTGTCAGTGTGCCGATACCAGCGAGAACGAGGTTCTTAGCAACTTCATTCGCCAATGCCTTAAAGGTAATTAGAAGTATATTCGCTGATCGCAACCTAAGGGAGATGTAAGTATCCTGCTAGGCGCACAATGCCCATCATCGAAGGCTGCCAGCTTACTTTTCCTGGGCTTTCACGCCCCAAAGACGGATCTGACGATCATACAAGGCGATCTCATCTGTTCAAGTAAGAGCATTACATCAGTTTCGATCTATGTTCCGTATACTGAAGCCTTTACGGGTGTATAGAGGTATGTTCACCTGCACTGATAGACTGAGCTGTATTGCCCTGTGACTTCATGTTGTTGGGCGGATAGTATCCAAACGGAATCACACGGTGCGGTTCACCTTCCAATTAGTGGCAATCCAGACGGTGTTGCTTTGCGCCAAGTCGCAGATATGGGCTAGAGCGCTTTGGAGTTGGCGAGGGCTCAATAAATTTGAGAGTCAAAAGAGTGCTCGCGGTCTGCGGGGAATGGCGGGCAACTATCAAAGAGCGGGTGAGCAAGAAATTGGAAGGGGGAAATATCATCAGATGATGGCTAAGGCAACTTGAATTTTTGAGTTTAAGAAGTGCCAGGGTACGTTCACTGAAGTCTCAGTCGAGCTGAGAAGAGCAAAGGAAAGAAGTGAATGAAAGCAGCGTCAGAGTAAATGAATGAATGATAGACGGATATACCCCAGCATCACGTGTGACGCTACGGCGATAACCCGCACTTATCACCTGAAACTTGGCCATCATTATCATTTTCGCCGACTACTGCAGAGCTGGCCTTTCTTTTGTCTGTGGTCATTTTAGGTGGTCTATCTGTACTCTCTGTGGGTTACCTATCATTCCCCTTACCTCCTCCTCTATTGGTTCATCATAATCCATCCACCTCGCCCCGATATAGTTCTTCTTCCCCTCATACCTCTAGTCGTTAAACTAACCGCGGATCGTCTTCACATACAGGATGGTACGTCAAACGCCCGGCTGTTATTATCTTATCCCGTCACCAATCAGAGTTCCTTTCATACAAGAATACTGTCTACCTCATATTCAGCGTATGCTGACCATCTTGGCTATACTTGTAGTCGGGGAATTACAATTATCCTGCCGCCTCTCTTCGTGTACCTCGTGGAAGCCGTACCGGTGATAGACCGAACCGTCCTACCGGAAACAGTTTGCAGCATTTGCGAGACCTGTTGCATTCAGAACATAACCATAACACTGCCCGCGCCTTGGAGACTCTGAACGAAGAGATAGAAGGGTATCGCTCCGGCCGTGTGCGGGACCGGCCAAGCTTCGAAGAGACCGGAGCTACAGTTGATAGACAGATACAGCAACATATCCCACGCCCAGGCATGCAGGGATTGCACGCTATAAATGTCGCTGCGATAGACACCGATTCTAGTACTAGTACTGTCGATTCTTCTATGTCCTCTAGCGCATACTCTAGTCGTCCTAGGGGAAGTGATAGGGCAAGTCGAGAAGGAAGAAATCGAGGCCCCACTTCCAACCAGCTCAGAGACGAACCCGCAACCCTTATCGAAGCAGCTACCGACATGTCTCAGGAAGCGGGTGGGGACCGGTGGAGGGTCAAACGTAGAAAACTCGAATCAGATGACAACAGAGAGGGTTTGCAGAGCTTCCGGTACGGTCAGTATGGCCAGGTTGTGTCCGGAGCTCTCAAGATGGAATTGGCTAGTTGTGATGGAGGCACTTACGAAACCGACGGTGAAAGCACATGGCCGGAGAACGTCCTTCGCAACGACTCTTCTGTTTACTGTACAAAATCAGACCGGTGTAATCTGATCTTGAAGCATCGTGGAGAGACCCCGTTCTGCTTAAAAAAGATTGTGATTAAGGCTCCCAAATCTGGCTACGATGCTCCGTATGTTACATCTGAGCAGCTTGGCTAATCACCGTTTGTTAATAACCATTCACCAGGATACAAGAAGGCATGGTTTTCGTATCCATGACTTCAGACGAACTTCTGACCCGTACAGCCCAGTACCAAATCCAGTATACATCCCCTCGACGAAGCCGACGAAATTGTCGGACTGGAATGCAGCCTTCCCAGGAATATCTGAATGCGTACCGGCATCCTTTACGATCTCTGGCTGGTCGGGACTCTTATTCAGAGTCAGATACCGATATCAGTGACCCCACAGGGCTAAATGCTGGCACCATTCCTGACCCGATGTCGGGGTTTCGGATTGTAACAGACTATGATGAACGTTCTGAAGACGGCCATGACGGTGATCAGAGATATGTGAACGACCTACCACCTCTTGCGGATGTTGAGAGACTACAGATGGACCAGATGGAGGACGATTTTCTTTGTTCGGACAGCGATGATAGCGATAGCGATGAAGATACATCCGAGTTAGATACGTACAACCGTCGACGCCGTGAGCTACTCAGGCGCGTGGCATCCACGCGCCGCAGATACGTCATGGAAAGAAATGGGCAGCCAAGACGACGTCCGGTCCCCAGTATTATTCAACCTATACCATCCCCCTCGGGTCCGCACGCCGGATCCGATGCTCAGAACCTTGATCTAGAATTGCTAAAACCTCACGCTCGTTTCTTCATTGAACGAACCAAAAGCATGGTCAGCATTACATTCGATCCACCTCCGTATGGCTCCTGTCCTTTCCAACACAGTTGAACCTCTAGGATTAGAGCTAACTAATATCCATAGTTCCGGGCGATACATTCTGATCAAGCTATGGAGCCCCCACAATGGAGGCAACATTGATATACAGAGCATCATAGCACATGGCTACGCTGGGCCAAGATTCTTCCCTGCCGGAGGTTTCAGATAGATGAGCCTCACGGGCTCTTATCTATGACGGAACGCTAAGCTACCGAAGTATTATGTACGCGGATTTGAAATTTGAATAGCGGAGTCTTATGAAAGAGATGCCCTAACTTTCCAGGTCACGGCCACTTTCACCTTCTATTATATTCCCCGCCAGCCACCACCATGGCTATATTCAGTTCATTCGTACATGTAGATTAATCATGCAGCATGTAATTGGGCATATTCTCTCTCATCAAATCATGTTCTACGAAGCTTATGGCGGCTTAGATGTTATAAATCAACATGTACTTGTGAGTTCCTCCCACACGCAGTTGGAATGAAACATGTTGCTTTGCAATCAACGATCATGCGATGAATTACTGAAAGTAAATTCGGGAGGTTAACAGTCGAGGACATGTATCATCAACATGCACGAAGAAAATTGAACTGAAGGTTTCCAACCTAGTCAATCAGAACTCCGATAAAGACGCCTAGAGTTTATTACGAACCGAAGGCAAGCCAGCCGCCAGCTACCCGAGGAGACCAACAACAGCAAAGAGGGATAGTGTTAATGGGAACGAGCAATTTTCATTTAGGTGAATAGGTAGAAGAGCGGCGGCCAAAGGTATGCAAGAATGAAGCAAACCCCCAAATAAAAAGTAATTAATAAGGGCCGCCCTGTCTCCTAACCGGCCGTGGTCAAGTGTTCATGTGACCGCAGTTGCTTGACAAAGACATGAAACAAATGAAATACAATATGCCTAACAGGAATAGGGTAGTCCAGTGCAATTAAAAAAGTGTATAGAAAAAAGAGGCGTCGTGGATTGAACCATGACAGTGAGAAGTTCTGTAGATCATCTGCAAACAGGTTGACCGGAATCTATGTACAGAAGGTCGGTCTCTGACAGGGAAACTAAAAGCTCAAAGAAAGCAATAAGCAATTCAGAGCGGGATCAACCACGCTATTAAATTTGTATGATTTTCAACCTGAAAAGACCGCAGCGCGGCAGGTTGATTTATCTCGATCGATGCTCATTTCTCGTCTCTCGTGCGAAGATCGTCGAACGCCGAAACTTCCTTGTACATGAACGTAAATAATCACCAACCAAAAACAAGACTCCTGAAAAGAGAATCAAAACTCCACCCATAAACAAATGAAAACTTGGTTGTTTCTTATTTTTCCAAAACATTGGTGAAATCAAATAAATATGTATAGTCGGCTTATATGACGACAACATCGCCTTCAGCATCTGCTGGATCAGAGGCCATCATATCGCCGTATTTTCCCACGGTCATTAGCATTGAATCGTCCTCAAGATCAATCGCGCTATCATCATTGTTTGAGGCATGGAAGCTGGCAATATTTTCGGAAATGTCCGCCGGCTTTTCATTAGGAGCATTGTTCGATTGTGGTTCTGCGTCCATCGGTGGATGTTCCAAAGAGGATTGAGACGGGTGAATACTCTCTGCCGGGGCAGGGGCCTCTAGTCCAGACCTTGAATCAACAGTGTTTTGTGTGTTAGGAGCCGTAAAGGGACCATTCTTAATAGAGTCTGGATAGCTAGGCTGCTTCATGGAAATGTTATTTGGCGCCTGTTGATCCACTCTCGAACTCACGCATTGCAATGTACTCGGAGTACAGCGCATAAAACCACCCTTTTCCGCTTGCCAAAGCATCATTTCATGAAAGAATACTTTAGTCATCCACCAGGCACTAAAGCTCTGAGCCCCCCCTAATGTTAATCGGCGAAGGATGCAATCCCACAACGCATCAACTTTCTCTATGATACATTTCGTACGGTGATTTGGAAACGCGGATGGTAAATTGAGAATGAATGATATCCATTTATCCGGGAAGTTATAGTCATCACCCGTTGACGACTGCACAGGATACCTATGTGCCTGAATGCTTCCTTCCGAATCAGGCTTTGTGTAGAACGGATGGGCAGCGGCAGGGTTCAGATCGGTAATAGGAGTGAGAAGAGCTCGAACATCATGCTTGAGAATTTGCTCGGTAGCTTGTTCCGCGCAGCTTGGGATATTCGCTTTAGAAATCATTTCCTTTGGGTCTACCAGCGTTTTGAAGTCGAACCACATTTGATTTCTGTTATCAGGGTGACACAGCCACGCTGCAGCTGCATTGGCGGATTGATTGACATCGAGCATATGCCGAAGAAGGTTACAGAATATATGCGCCGGTATTAATCTTGCTAGGGAGACGTGTATCGGTTGCGCTTTGAACGTATCTGCGATATGGGCGGTAAGTCTTTGAGAGATGGAGCTAAAGGTGTCTAGGACGAGCTTCGGAACGACTTGAGTTGTAAGCGGTGCCACAAATGCAATCATTTTCTGGTACATGAGCCAATCACATTCCTTAATCCACGGGGCGAGGTTAGGGTGTGTTAGAAGCTTCTGTACCGGTACGGTTAGGGTTCCGTGGAAGGCAGAGAAGTAATGGCGTAGATTTCGCTCTTTGCAGTATCGAAAGCTGTCTATGACAGAAATGCAATGTGACCGATAAAGGGCGGCTAGAGCAGCGGCAACCTTCGAATCAGTATTAACGGGGACATAGTCATTAATGTCAGGAAGTTGCAGAGTGTCGTTATCAATGAATGAGTCTTCGGTAGTTGGCAGTTGAAGCATCTGGTGAATCATTTTTCCGGAATGGCTTGCTACATTTTCAAGGGTAGTGGTGGAATCGCCACTAGACCGAGACGAAGTATAACAACCGCAATCTGAGCTCGAGAGACTCCCCGAGGATCTGGCGGTGAATGAAGTGGTAGGGGAAGGGAACACTGCAGTGTCTGCAGGAGGCTGCGGTGCGATACTAACACTAGTCCTGATGAGTTTCGAATCCATTGACGTGCTTCTTCCCTGACGAACTCACCTCTTCTGCATGGCTTCTCCCACTTTATGCTCTATAGGTGCAGCTGAGCCGGTTGTGTTGGCTGGAATCTGAGGGTTCAAGGGGGGAGGCTTCTGTTGTTTCTCCTCAATGACAGTCAGATCGACGTAGTGGTATTTGGACTCTCCCCGGACTCCGAGCCGCCTAGTCTGTACGTTGGGAAATATGATTCGCACGAGCTTCCCAAAAGAAGCTGGATTCAAAACGGAGACACGCTCGGTTCCACACTTCTCTGCATAGCAGCAATAAACACGATCGCGCCGAACAGACCCGCTGCTTTTTCTGCAATTCTCCTTCAACCTAGGAGCGCGTAAGGAACAAATCGCAACCGGTACATCATTGGGTAATTCCGTTGCTCACCATATCATAGCAAAGACTTGCTTCACCTTTTCAGCCTTACCGCCGGCTCCTTCATGTTTAAGGACTTCCGCTGCCATTTGCTTCAAGGAATATCCTTCGTACTGTCGCAGCAGTTTTCGCAGTTCATTGTCATTCGCAAGAGAAGAGTTTGAACCCTTTTTCTTTTTCGCGCCAGCCTCGGAATTCTCATTCTCGTCTAGAACATGTTCTGGGACGTGATTCTCGATCCCGCTGTCATATATCGCTTGGTACTGCGGCATTGGCACGGAAGACAATCCAGGAAGACCGGAGGATATTGAATGGTGGGAGAGGTGATGGCCATGCATCGCATGGCTTGGGAAGTCTTCAGCCCTTGGCAGGACGGGGTGGTGAGCATCATGCATAGTCGGGTCCAGCGAAGAACCGCTCACGGGATGCGAAAGTTGCTGGCCAAATCGCATAATTATCTCCTCAGGATTTCCTCCGAAGACATTATGGCTGGCGTTGGCTTGAGCCGGGAGGAATTGCGGAAATCCATCAGTAATCTGCTGGTCCTGGGTTTGTTGGGTGGTGTTTGAATGGATGCTGGCAGTAGAGCCTCTAGACCTTGGGCGGCGACCATTTCTTGACACTACAGTTTCTGAGCGCGATCTCATGAGATCTGCTGTCCCAGGGCGGCTATGTGGCGCTACTATCTGCGTTGTTTGAGATGCAGCACTTGAGGCCTGTGAGGCGGCTCGGCCTGTTGACTCTGTTAGTTAGCTTAACACCGGCGGATATTTTACAAGTACAGCAGTGGGGAGATATGTTAAGACCAATGACAGAAGGTAGGAGGCTCTGCAGGAAGTGGATGCAGCGTCTTACCCATCTCAGGAGGCATCTTTTCTTTTCGGATCTGCTCCAGCACACCACGATGTTTGGTTCCCTCGCTGTTGGGTGGGAGACGGTGGGTAACCACGGGCAATAGCGTCTGTTTTGATCCCTTCCAGCCACCGTCAACCACACGTTTTCACGCCGCAGGAAACTCGCGAAATTAGAGCCCAATCAAAGTCCAATCGTAAGTCGGGTCTTTAGGGCATCAATAGGGTCGGTCTAGCAGCAGACTCGCTATGGAAAGCTCATAGCAGCCGCGTTTCAAGGTCGAAGAATTGTGAGCTGGAAGGAGGATAAACAGAGATCGGCGTTCCTCAAGCAACGACTGCTTTTGCTTGTTTGCGGGTGCGGTCACGTGTTGTAGGGATTATATAAGTTGGCATTCCTGTCGTTAGTTGTATTGTTTTTTGCCGGTAATAAACAAACACAACAACGGTCGCAGTCATAATTGAACGAGAAACAATATACGATACGAGGGACAGTAATAGTCATGTATGTACCGTACATTCGTTAGGGGAGTGTATGTTTGTATGTATGTATGTATGTATCTATGTATCTATGTATCTATGTACAGTACACGCCAGACTCCCAGAATCGATCGATGTACTAAAGTATTATTTTCCTCAAATACAACTTTTATCCTTCAGTCTCATCTCTCGCTCATGCCGCCATAAAGCTCCAAATCGACTTTCCATCCATAATAGAGGGGCCACGCCCAACGTGATCCCCGCAAGCAACAGAAAGGTGTAATCGGCAGTCAGCACGTCCAGCATGGGTTGCATTGCCGCCACTCCAGCAGCTCCCACCAAGCATCTCATCAGGTTATTTACTGCTGTTGCACTGGCGCTTGCCCCAGGGTAAAGATCGATGACCAATGCGCTGTTGATGGTAAATATCCCCGTTGAACACAGAGCAATAAAGTACTGCAGAATGATGGGAACCGCTATATGTGTTCGAAGCGAGACGCCGTAGACAGCAGTTGTCACGAGGAATAGTCCAACAATCCACCAAGTGTAACGCATTCGGGCAACTTCAATAGGAAAATCCGGGTGAGATTTCAAGTTGACCCGCGTACCAGACGGGTAGCCATGTTGCTCGCAGTATTCGCGTTCCGTCACTTTGTGGTTATAGTCCAAGAGATAGCCGACCAAATACGACCCCGATATACATCCAAACCCTAGCAGATGACAATCAGCGAACATAGTCTCGCCGTGGCGATGTGACGGTGGACCTTACCATTCCCCAGGAATGTCAAGCCAACCTCTAACGAGGTCAAATGATAGACATTCTGGAAAATATCTGTAGTGCTGGAAGTCACCATACTCCAAACCGCGTAAACGATGCTTCCAAAGAGAAGGGTAACGAAGATGTCCTTTTCTACCAGGAATGTAAGAGGAGCAAATATAGCACGCCATGTCAATTTAGGCTTCTTCTGGCCCGGGTCGGCTCCAGTAATGGCCCCCTTCTGTCCGATAAACACATATAGAAAAGGCTTATGGATGCCTCTCAGCCTAACTGTACCGTTACCAGCGATATGTCTCAGCGTCTCAGGTAGGTATATAAGAATAGACAAAAGGCTCACAGCTGCGCATATCGTGAGAAACCAAAAGATTGAGCGAAAACCTAAGTACTGAGTCAAGATGCCACCAATAACCGGGCCAATCCCTTGCCCAAGCATACGAACTTCAATGTGTCAGCTTATATCCAAATGGTGGCTACCAAGTGCCCAGCAAGAACAAAGAATGGGGTCTAGTCAATTTCTTACCTCCTCCAAATATACCCACAAGGCTTCCCCTTTCCGCTGAAGTGGTGATATCACCAATGACACCGGCACCTAAGGAGCAAACCTGTGAGCAAATCAAACCTGGCTTGGGGCTATTAATGGAAACAAACTTACCAATGGAAATTGTAGCCGCACTACCAGCAGCCTGTAGGGCACGAAAAGCCATGAGTTCTCCATAATTGGTGGACACAGCAAGGGCAATGCTGGCGATCATGTACACAATGAACGTCCCAATAAAGACCGGACGTCTCCCTGTGGCATCTGAAATCGAACCCCAAAATGTGGGTGTTATCCCTTGCACGATCATGTATATTGTGACCGTCAAGGTGGCGAGGGACATGCTAACATTTAGGCTCTGCATAAAGCTTGGTTAATATACTACCCTCGAAAGGTTTCCCAATGTATTTTTTATTTTTGTCGTACTTACTCTTGACACCTCGCCCAGAGCTGGGAAATAAATGTTCGACGATAAGGGGGAGAAAATGGCAGCCATTGAAACGATGCATACCATTTGCAACTTCTTACGACGAGAGAAAATATGATGTGGCTTGGATTGGGCAACTTGGTCTTCAAGCTGCGAGGTCCCTAGAGAGTCGGATGGCTGCCTCTCATCTTCAACAGAAGAAACAATAGGAGCCTTGTCGGTATCTGACCTTGCTGTAGCCATGGTTACAGCGGCGGAGAAAGTATAGTTTCTGAAATCAAATTTCCCGATGATATTTCACTTAGCTATAAATACTTTAAGCGGAAAATGTCCACGGATAGGCTAGGTATCAAACTTGCGAGCACCAAACTAGTTCCGAGTTGAGGATTATATACTTCTAATACCAAAGCGTATATCGATTACCCAAGGGAGCAAGGAAAAGTTACATGATCCACAATATATGCAATCTCGCTCGCTCTCTTCCCAAATAGAATAATGCATGTGGAGTAGCAAAGAAAGATCGTCATTCCATGGGACTAAGGCCTGGCTTGATAAGACCTTGAGAAGCACCACTCTGCTGTGTATTGGCAGCAGAGAGGTGGCGTTGAATTGCATAGGGAGGACCTTCTGGCAGCTAATGCAGCAGAGGGTCACCAAACTATGAGGGATGATCTACTGGTCATTATTCCTCGGCCGACAAATTCCAGATAGAAACATGTATACTTGATTTTAGCCCTGTGGGTCCACAGATCGCTAGCGAGCGTATTCAATCTTGGCCTGCTCCATGTGAGCCTAATGATGTAGTAGTATACGTAGCAATAACCGGCGGGACGCGTCAGACATCGAGGTGCATAGCATCCCGTGCATATGCAAGACTCTAGACGGAAAGCATTCAGAATGCAATGTGAATCTAATAGTCCTCTTGTAAGCAAGCATGGAGGATACAACCCCCCGGGGGGCCGGGGGGGGAAAGGTCCATTATCTGAGTTTACCATGAACGAGCATCAGTGGCACAAAGCTATACTTACCAAGCTTGACCTTCAATTCTAACATGAAACCCGAGTCGAGAACTGCCCTGATAAGGCCACAAAAGCTCCACCCTCCCGAAAGTCTGAGGCGTAATCGTCACGTAACGTATAGTAGCTTTGTCGATTTGCCTCTGTGCTTGATGATCATCTACTAGTATCATGTTTTCCCTCCATGAAACACAGCCGTTCGAGAATCGACAGAATAGGAACGCCCCACCCCCTAGTTCTTGGGCAACTATGACCGAGGGAGACCTTGCACTCGTAAGAGTCCATTCGTACTCGTGTGACATACATTATCTTTGCTATTATTCTTTCAACCTCATCTCTTTGCGCCAGGGGTAGGCCGGTCAAGGACCTACCACGATGAAGGTCGAAAATAGTGAGTGAGTGAGTACGTACCCACAACAACTCAAACAGACCGATAGGAGAAGAATGCTGATGGCGAAAAGCTCTGATCGAGTAGGGGATTCACTGTGGCTGGATGACTCGGAGCTAGTAGTTCAGGTCAAACCTGGCTAGCGTCAAATCGTCCCTGAGTGATCTACGTCCATGCTGCAGGGGTTTATTGTCTTTTTGCTTTGTTACTCCGTCTGATTGCCGGCCTCCCTGGTGAACTCCGTAGATCTCCGTCTGCTCGCAATAATCCTACATATTCCGGTGGTCTTGGCATCATTTGAGCTCGCGACGATCGCCCAAACTTCGGCTGGCGGAAACTCCAGCCACTGTAGATATTTTTGAGGGGAATCACAGCCGATCCAGGATAGGGGCCGAATGCGATCCATTCCCGGCTCTTACCACCATGGGACAAATGTATGCGAGCTGTAAGCTGAAAATTCATGTCCAAATCCGCTTTCCACGATGATCTTCGAAGCTAGCATCTTTGCCAAGTGAGGTGGTTAATCTATTCTATCTTTGGGGGGAGAGGAGCCTGCATGGTGCAATCCAATGACATGGACATCGCACAAGAATGGTGTTCAGGGCTTGACATTATTGGTGCCGGCATTGCGTATTTCAGACCATTGTAGAGCACTAGTTTTGTTTCCTCACATTCTACGGCATGCAACATTGACAGGAGTGTAAAGCAAGAGCCAAAACAAACGAGAAAATTTACATGAGGAAACTAATTACTCCCTAGCATCTCTAAACAAAGGAGAACATGAAACAGGAAAAGTACAGGAGTGGTCAGGAGAAGATCATCTAGCAGATTTAGAATATACGTTTCAGCAGTGACGCTCACGAATGATGAGATGCCACACGCTGGGGTTCAATCACACATCCCACGCTCACTTATTTAAACCAGATCCCTCTTCACAAACTCGTTGAGCAGTGCCTTACCAAGGGAGGCGGGGCTCTTCTCAACAATGACACCGGCAGCTTCAAGAGCGGCGATCTTCGAATCAGCACCGCCCTTGCCGCCGCTAACGATGGCACCAGCGTGACCCATGCGACGGCCTGGGGGAGCGCTGATACCGGCAATAAATCCAACTGCAGGCTTGTTGTACTTGTTGTTTGCCCTGAGGAACTCGGCAGCATCCTCCTCAGCGCTACCACCGATCTCACCGATCATGATGATACCATCGGTCTCCTCGTCCTCGAGGAAGATCTTCAAGCAGTCAATGAAGTTGGTGCCAGAGAAAGGATCACCACCGATACCAACGACGAGCGATTGGCCAAGTCCAGCCTGAGTGGTCTGGTTGACAGCCTCGTAGGTCAGGGTGCCGGAACGGGAAACAATACCGACACGGCCACGCTTGTGGATGAATCCAGGCATGATACCAATCTTGCATTGGCCCTATACTGCCGTAAATATCTGCCACGGTGTATTTATAATGTCAAAATGTTGGGTGGTTGAAACTTACGGGAGCAATGATACCGGGGCAGTTGGGTCCGACTAGACGAGTCTTGTTCTGCGTCTTCAGGATGTCGGTGATACGAACCATATCTAGTTGAATACCAGTCAGACTCTGGGATTCCAGATGGTTCGCACGATATAGGCAAACTTACCATGCTGGGGAATTCCTTCAGTAATACTAGAAGAAAAAAAAATATCAGCGGTTGATCACTTTATGCAGGCCACGATCATCTTACCAAACAGCCAAAGGAACCTCAGCTTCAATTGCCTCCTCAATACCCTTAGCAGCAAGGGGAGGGCTGCGATCAATTAGTAACATGTTTCTAGATCTTCAGACTGAAGGGTACAGTCATACGGGACGAAAATAGCCGAAGCAGTAGCTCCGGTCTCCTTGACGGCGTCGCGCACATTTGCGAAGACAGGTCTGTCAAGGTGTGTCGAGCCGGCCTTCTTGGGGTTGGTACCGCCTACAACTTTGGTGCCTGAGCGCTGTAAGCTACATTGTCCATTCTATCGCAAATATCGATCTGCTAGGTTATGTGAAGGGGGAAAATACCGTAGGCAATGGCTTGCTCGGCGTGGAAACTGCGGGAGGACAGAAATGCAACGTCAGCATCATATATGAAACCACACCTTGTCTGAAGTATACATACGTTCCCTGCTTGCCAGTGAAGCCCTGAAAGAGAACCTTGGTATCCGCATTTATGCGAAGGTTGTTGATGGTCTCAGCATAGGCCGGGGCATTTGCATATCCCCGTTGCTGCACAGTGGCAGCATTCCGAAGGGCAGAGGCAGTGCTACGGCGGAAGGCCTGCATGGCGTAAATGTGTAGTAGAAGCGGTAAAAAGAAGGAGAGGAGAGGGTATTGCACCAGAAGAGGTGTGAAAGCTGACGTGGAGGAGAAGGAAAATGATTGGTATAGCGGTAGGAAACGCGCCGGGACGGTTTGGATTTCAACTTTCGGGACAAAGCTTTAAGCGGACCCGAATTGTCGCGGGCGGTCGGTTCAGTCTCCTCGGCCTTTTTTTTTTTCTCACTGATTGATATTCGGCCCCTCCAAACCATCTTAGACCGATCAGTATCTGGGGTAGCATTCATTGGGTTTTCCTTTTTATATATATATATATGACCATCTGATTTTATTCTATTTAATTTTCCTTTTTTTTGCCCTAGTACTTGCCTGACAGATCCTTTCTTGATTCTATTCCTTGCCATCTACTGGTGGTAAATTTTTCAAAATGGCGACGGCCACGATGACTATGCCGCCACCCTCCAAATCCAAGACGAACGCAAAGCTTCCTCCAGAGAATGAACGGTACATGCGAGCTTGCTCTGATATCGCCAACGTCCTTATTCGAGAATATGAAGCTGAAACGGATCCCAAAAAGCCAAAGAAAGATCTTAATCTGAACAGACTGCGCAACCAAATCGCGAAAAAGCATTGTTTAGCCCATCTGCCACCTTTGACAGCTATTATTGCTGCTGTCCCGGAACATTACAAAAAATATATCCTTCCCAAATTAATTGCTAAGCCGATTAGTATGACCCTAGTCCGTCAACTACAGCTGGGCTTTTTCTAATTGCCACCTAGGAACGTCTTCGGGTATCGCCGTTGTCGCTGTGATGAGCAAACCCCATCGTTGTCCTCATATTGCATACACCGGTAATATATGCGTCTACTGCCCTGGTGGCCCCGACTCCGATTTCGAGTACTCAACCCAGTCCTATACCGGGTATGAGCCCACGTCGATGCGTGCTATCCGAGCACGTTATGACCCTTTCGAACAAGCCAGAGGACGTGTGGACCAGATTAAGTCTCTCGGTCACAGTGTCGACAAGGTTGAATATATTATCATGGGTGGGACCTTCATGTCTCTACCGGAAGATTATCGCGAATCGTTCATCGCCCAGCTCCACAATGCGTTGAGTGGATATCAGACAGACAACGTCGACGAAGCCGTCCAGGCCGGTGAGATGAGCAATGTGAAATGCGTTGGTATTACAATTGAGACCCGACCCGACTACTGCTTGGATACACATCTGAGCAGCATGCTTCGGTATGGATGTACACGATTGGAGATTGGCGTACAAAGTCTGTACGAGGATGTTGCAAGGGACACAAATCGAGGCCACACTGTTGCTGCAGTTGCAGAAACCTTCAAGCTTGCGAAGGATGCCGGTTTTAAGGTGGTCAGCCATATGATGCCCGACTTGCCGAACGTTGGGATGGAGCGTGACCTATTTCAGTTCCAAGAATACTTCGAGAACCCTGCTTTTCGAACCGATGGCCTTAAAATTTACCCAACTTTAGTGATCCGAGGCACTGGTCTCTATGAATTATGGAGGACTGGTCGCTATAAGAACTATACTCCCAACGCATTGGTTGATCTTGTGGCTCGTATTCTTGCCCTGGTCCCTCCTTGGACCCGTATCTACCGTGTCCAACGAGATATCCCGATGCCGCTGGTTACTTCAGGCGTAGAGAATGGCAACCTGCGTGAACTTGCTTTAGCCAGGATGAAGGACTTCGGCACCACGTGTCGGGACGTCCGTACCCGTGAGGTAGGCATTAATGAAGTCAAGAACAAGATCCGTCCATCTCAGGTCGAACTTATTCGACGCGACTACGCAGCCAATGGAGGCTGGGAGACCTTCCTTGCTTACGAGGATCCCAAGCAAGACATTCTAATTGGTTTGTTGCGGTTGCGAAAGTGCAGCCCTACACACACTTTCCGCCCTGAATTTACTGGCCAACAAACTAGTATCGTCCGTGAGCTCCACGTGTATGGCTCTGCCGTGCCATTGCATGGGCGTGATCCACGCAAGTTCCAGCACCGTGGTTTTGGTACTTTGTTAATGGAGGAAGCGGAACGCATCGCCCGGGAGGAACACGGAAGCCAGAAAATCAGTGTCATCTCTGGTGTTGGTGTGCGCAGTTATTACGCGCGTCTAGGCTACACCTTGGATGGCCCTTATATGTCCAAGATGTTGGACCCGATTGAGGATGAAGAGCTATAGTGATTGTGCCCTAGTTAGCATCGGCTGATATGATTATGATGATGGATGAGCAATATTCAATGAAAATTTTGCTGATTGGGAGGGGTTATGGCATTGGCGTTCTGAGGGGCGGGTCTTTCTGCATTCTAGGTGTTATTCATAATCTGCCCGTATCTGAAGTTTGGAAGGGATACGTACTTGTACATAAACTAAAATTGAAGTGCATGCACACCTGTGATGCCGACTGGTTTTAAATCTTAGACCCTAGTTGGTACTAAATTGTCCAAATAGTATGCTAAGGCTAGTGATATAGTATCATGTCAGCCATATGCACAACAGAATAGTGAGCAAAGCTAATTCTATAATAACCGACATTTATATACACCACAAGCACAAGGGGACACCCCATCAATAAAGCACTTAGAACTGCAAATAAAAAGCTAAACTAAAACAACAGATAGCAAGACGGTGAGTGAGCCCATGATACATAATATACACAAGTACCTAGAATCAGGGCACATCAGGTCATCATCCGCTTGGCAAATGCTGCAGCATACGCTACACTGCATGTATGGTTTATCACATCCCGCTCCAGACCACTTCGTGGTATCATTTGGGCGACGCAGTCATATAGAGGTAGGGCCAAAGAATCAAATGTTGTGGTTGATTTCATCATCGAAAAGAAGGGTATAACAATAGTGACAACTTAGTTAAGCGATATGGCGCCTCCCCTGCGGTTTCGCACGTGAAGGTAGGCCTGGAAAGAACAGAAAACGAAAAATGCCTATGGAGCGTAACTGTCAGCAATGTGATGTTCTAGTTACCGTATCCAGATAGGGCGAATCGTACAGCGTATACAAAAACGGCTGAGAAGATCGAAGCAGCGACCGCACCGCCATCCTCAGGCTCACCCTCTGAGCCGGTAAATCCGTGGTGCTCCCTCTATGAGTATCTTAATTAGGTACCACTCCTAGTATACCACACGCAGGACAGGCAACAGTGTTGGCCATTATCAAGCGAAAAGATCCGGCAGCAAACGAACCTTGTATAACGATCCGAGAACCGAGAGGATGACAATGGCGAAAAGGGAGATGATCGCGCTATATTGTAAAGATATTTGGTCAGTTTGTAGTAAGCACAGAATTATCTTGGCAAAGACATACCAGGACCACGCATTCAACACCGACACGACAGGCTTCATATCGAAGACGAAGTGATGCGATAAATGACTGATTGGTACAATGTCTCGGCGATCCGACTAGGTTCAGTTTCGATGGTATCACAAAAGTGACACTCGGGAAATGTCAATAAGCACAACACAAGCAAAAAGAGGAGGCGTGAGAGGCTTTGGTTGTGTCTAAATATGCAGCTGACAAGGAGGGCGGCTATCATAGATGATGTTCACCAGGCGGAAGGAAAGCTCCGATTGAATGCTAACGCCTAAACCGCTTTTGGCAACAATGTCTGGACCCGCGCCTGTATCAAGTTATCAACCCCCGATGCAAGCGTTTGTATTTGACTTTACAAATAATTATGTTCCACCCATATCTTAATTGAAATAAAGGGAGGTAAAGCATTAGTTGTCGGTTTTCTCTAGCCCTATCCTATGACTTTATGTTTAGACTAACGTTTAAAAGAAACGCTCGGGGTTTGGAAGAGAGAGAAATATATCTATGTAAACCGGGCTAGCTACACCTGCACATTTCTAAGCCACCACTCATCTAGTGAGTCTTATTCCATTGAATACATTCGTCGAATGTCACACCAGAACCACCAAAGATATCCAACGCGCTGCCGATAGTTAAGTCCACTTTTCCTCGACTACTTGAGTGAACCTTCTCAAGATCTTCTAGGCTCCGTGCACCGCCAGCATACGTAACCGGTATCGAGCACCACTCGGAGAGCTTAGACACTAACTCTTCGTCTATACCTTGTTGTAGTCCCTCCACATCTGCAGCGTGGATAAGAAATTCCGAGCAGTAAGGCTCCAGTAGCGAGATGGATTCTTTATCTTGGTCAGTACAGGAGATGTTTTACTTTCCCTATAGCATAGGCCGCCTAGGAACGCCCTGATACAAAAACGAAAAATAGATAAAAAAAACTTGCCTTGATTGATTTCCATTTCTGTTATGGTTTGCCACCTGTTCATAGCCACGAACCATGTGTTGTCTTTCCTTCGGCAGCTCAGATCTAGAACCAGTTTTGATCTGTCACCTCCAAGAGCGAAAAGAACCGATTCCAACCTTTCAAGAGAGAATTTACCCTCTGGAAAGAGGAATGATGTGATTATAACCTATGCAAGGGCAATTAGTACCTGGTGGTAGCTTATAAGGACGGAAGAACGAACGAACGAACGAACGAACGAAGGGGGGAAGGGGGGAAACAAAAAGATAGCCAGGCAATTTTTGATATAATGTAAGAACGATAGGATCATAATTGACTTGACCTAAATATACAATCAAGTAGATACAGACGACATTCAGCAAAGTAATAGAACTCACCTTCTCGGCACCCTGGTCTATCCAGTACTGAGCATTCTTATCGGTGATTCCACCGGCGACCTGCAAGCCACTCGGCCATGTGCTAAGTGCTTCTTCTGCTGCTGCATCATTGCCTGAACCAAGCATCACAACATGGCCTCCACGTAAGCCGTGTCTTTGGTACAGTTCTGCGTAATGACTAGCTGGAAGTTTAGAAACATAGTTCGTCTTTAAATCCGCAGGGACATTGCTCAATGTCCCTCCAACAATTTGCTTGACTTGACCCGAGTGGAGATCGATACAAGGTCGGAATTTGGTCATCTTGTCTGTTCCAATGGGTCTCTAAACCTGATGCTGTGTTGTAGTCGATATATCATGGTGGAAATCCCACGAGGGGTTAGCTTATCTTATCACACGTGACTCGACAAAAAGGTAGCCATGTAAGGCTTCGAATTTCGGTCTCTCATAGCTTAACAACGCTTCGAAAAGCCGGGTATCGAAAGATGATTGGAAAACGAAAGAGAGATACACACGTTGTATCGAGATCCATAACATCCGAGGATGACGAAGCAACAATCACTACGGCGAATGATAGTTCTAGCCATGATATCTTCCGCAAATTTTTTGAAGCCCAATTTCAGCCATTAGAAGTACCTGAAACCCGCACTACATGTGCTCAGGGATCCGATGATGAGCATAGCACTGATGAATCTGAAGAATCTGAGCCCGAGTCTGAATGGAGTGGCGTCTCAGAGGACGGGCATGGCAATGTTGAGGTAGTCGAGCATCACGACTTGTCGGCGGCGGCTAAGGAACCAATGGATAAGAGAGCCCGCAAAGCCTTCATGGTATGTCTACACGATATATATTTGTCCTCCAGAAATTGGCTAATTCTATGGCAATACCCAGACCGCGAAGCCGCCGTCATTCTCTGTTAAACCGGCAGCTATTAGGAGCTCCCCAAACAAAGACGAGGACGATGGAGATGACACCGCAAATCTGAAGAATGACCTTGCATTACAACGACTATTGAAAGAATCCCATCTTCTCGAGTCATCGTCGGATCTTGCGCCGACCGGTAAAAATCGACTAAAAGCTCTTGACTTGCGAATGCAATCGCTCGGTGCCAAGGCATCATTGTACCATCAGAATATGCCGTCATCGCACCGAAGAGGAATCAAGGCTAAAGCTGAGAAGAAGGATGATAAACGTCGACGTGAAGCTAGAGAAAACGGAATCATTCTCGAGAAACCCGTGCCTAAAGCAAAACCCAGCACCGGAAAACGGGAACGTGGCGTCGGGGGACCCTCTATCGGAAAGTTTGCAGGAGGTACTCTGAACTTGAGCAAACGAGATCTATCTTCCATTCAAGGCCCACGACGGTCCGGTAAAGGCAAGACCAGAGGACGCCGTTAATGCGCAGCAAGCAGTACTGATAGGCAATTCCAATAAGGAATTACCTGCTACACCGGAGCATTCTCGGAACTTCTTCGTTGAAATAGCATCATCGCATTAGTCTCTTGTTCATGACAGATTGTCTGTCGTTGTTGCCTGGATTAGGGGCCTTGGTATCGCCTTTATCTTCACATGGGCAACGATGACATTCTTACTGTCAATCCCCCGCTCGTCCTGTGCTCGCCACTGCATTTATCCATCCTTCGCGAATCCTTTTCATCCACTATTGGCGATGATGAACCCAACTAAGGATTTAGAATGTACCCGGTCCTTTGTGCTGTGTTTGAGCTGCAACACGACAAATAGACAGACGGCACCCGGCAAACTATCCACCTGTAAGGAGTTCGTCCTGAGACTTTCGTCTTGAGCATTGGGACTTGAGAAGTTTATTCTCTGGCTATTCTAGGGCGCTTTTCAAAGCACGTCCCAACTCCGCAGTCCTAGATATGGTGAAACCTCCGAGGAAAACTGAGTTTTAGGAATGGGGCCCCTAAAAATTCCGAGACAATCCTCCGTTTTTCTAGACTGATTCTGGATATGGTACTCCGTAGCTCCCCCATGGGAGCCCAAGACTTTTATTCCTTACTCAATGAGCACAGAATACACAGTAAAGATAAGTAGGTATATATATATGACCATAGAGGACAACTGTGCTCTCACTGGACCCGAATCGAGAGACATTGGTAGTGCGCCTTTCTTTTCCCTTCTTTTTAGTTGTGCCAATAGGAGGTACCAACGTCGCAATGTTGGGATAATCTTCGTGGTAGAGCTTACAGTTTTCGGATCAAGCGGTCCATTCCAAAACTCGTCTATTGGTCGACTACTACTCAATCCTTTCCATAGAGTTTTTGGTACGGGGTAGAGGAAGCGTTATAATTGAGTTTATAGTCTCTGCAGTTGCACCAATCGAGGTCGTAAGAGTTCCACTCCGAGCTTGCAGTCCCTTTCCACCGGTTACCTTAGGCCGATAGATCATAGGGTACCTGCATGGCTCCAGATGTTTTCTCCAGTCCTATTAATACATTAATCACCATGGGTGGAATAGCCCGGTGATTGTGCTTAATATCAGAGAAAGATTAGTATTACCCCAATCCAGTCCTCATATTGCTCCATACCTGGAACTCGAGCATAGGGTCGTGCCCACTGCCAGGCGAGATAGCAAATCACGAGTTGACCGGGGATTTTCTATAGTACCATGCACTAGTTGTTTCAGATTCCTGCACGCAGCCCTTCCAAGCAAAGCAAAGAACCCAGGCATATGACACACTCATCACGAGTCCAGGTCTGTTGACCAACACTCTTTATCTGCACCCGGAAGGTAGACTAGCACGCAGTTGCACATCGTGCTCTCGTATCACTTTCGTATCATGGATACGGGTCATGGACTTGAAACCGTGGTCATAGTAGTAATGGCAACACTAAAGCTGATAGTATCCCAAAGTGCCATCTAGAGTGCATATAGAAAAACAAAGAATGCGTAATCACCGCTTCTAGTGCTTAACCAGCCTCTTGGCAACCTTTCTCATCCGCCAATGCTACTCTGTCCTGGTTAGTCCACATCTGTACTTTGTTCTCCTAGACTCTTTACGAAGAAGCTAGGACCGATTTATCTGGTGGCACTAGGGGAGAACTTCGGAAAATGTCTTTGGTCACCCGCTCTAGTAGCGCCAAGATGTGCTAAGTCTACCGGAGACCAAATGCTCCAATCGCTCACTTGGACAGTTCCCTGTTTATGAGTTGCTCCATATGGGATAAGTTGAAATCCAGGAGCCTCGAATTTTGGTTCAAACTGTGGGGAGGGAGGCACAGGAAACGGAAAGGATAAGAAGAATAAAATAAAAAAAAGGCAAAAAAGAAGGAAAAAAAGGAAAAAGAAAAAGCCCCAAACCTATACAACAACACCCACTAATCTCTTGTTGCACTAAATCTGCCTAAGGTAGGATGCAACTATTGAGACGGTGGCATCATGATATCAAAAATCGAACTTGTGATATTAATAGTACCCAAGACTTACACAATGGCCTCGTAAACATGAACAGTTGAACATCCAGAGAAATTTTTCTAGATCGTTTCACCATGGCCGATCAAGCAAGAGCCCGTCGTACCGAGCGGGCCAAAGACCAGGTTCCATATTCTCTCAATGATCATCGCATCTACTACTCCGCAGTGGGAAATAAGAAGGAAAAGAATTTTTCTTAGACAAAAATAAAAGGAAAACAGAGAAAATTTCTTCTCACTTTTCCTGAACTAGTGGCTTTGGGGGATGAGACAACCGTAATCCTTTTCGCGCATTGCAGTATATCTCTGTCGCGCAAAGAAACCCTAAGCTGTTTGTAGTCTAGTCCAGGCACAATTACCTATTTCAGTTGCCAAAGTGGGGGAATCCGAAAGGAGTTAAGGTACCATTGGCACTGCACTAATCCTATTGCTTCCGTTAGCCACAAAATGTGCACTTGTGGATGGGGAAAGGCCCCAACAAAGCTGTTCTAGTCTTCTAGATACTGGGTCCTGTACCTACTTAGCTTCCAGGAGTACAGAGTGTTCTTTAGCAATTAATGATATCATCAGATCTGTCTTGTTGATACTCCGTCGGAGATTCGGATATCTCGCTAACCCAACAACCAGCCTCCGGCATTTAGGTAATCGAATGGTTGCAAGGAAGTAGTTTCCCGCATCTTCGGTTGAAAATAAATTACTTCGGATCTTTATTCATGGCTGGTTTGTCGGTTCAAAGTAGTAGTCTTTGTTCCTTCCCTTATGGTTACACATGCATGCGCAGGTCTATGTAAATACATACTTCGTTCGCCGAGTCACTCTGTGTGAACATATGCATTCATACCACAGGATAAGCTGGGGCGCATTCGGCCGAAATAGTGGAGTATGTACTCGTAGATTGACTGGGACACAGCAATCGGGTCAATTATTTTTGACTATTTTCGTGTGGTTTATAAGCAGCGATATTTAACAATGTATAGAGGATAAGACCATCAGCGGGGCCCAAGCTACCCGCTTAGAGACCATCCCAGACATGATCAATAATTCAGGAGAAACGCATTTATAGAACGCTGTAAAATGGAAAATTATGATCCTGCAGGGCTTATCGACCAGTGATCGTCGCTGGAAGCTTGCTATTCTCCCAAGAATTGGGTCGTGCAGATCACTCCTGGTGTCTAACGTCGATGACCGTTTTGAATGAATATGAACGAACATGTACTATAGCCTTATAGTTCGCAAAGCGCATGGGTCACTTAATATAACGCATTGTACGGAGTGTCGGGTTCCCCATTTTAATATAAAAATTCTCCTAGCGTACCTGTCCACATCTTTATATCCCGTAGACCTATACCCTATACTAGACAGGGCAATTAACAGCCAAGACTCTACTTTACATGAAGATGACACAGTCGGCGTTGGAATGTGATCAATACCGATTATGTTATGTGGTATGCCGATAATAAGACACCCGACAAGGCCTTTTATAGATAAACAACCTAAAGCAAACGACAGGGAGTAAGTGTGCGGTAGCCTGGAGTTACCTCAGATGTAATGATGAAGCATATGTCCAAGACCCTGGAGTCCGAACCTAGTTTAGCTCAGGATTTTATCAGCTGCGCTAATATTTAAGGTCAACGGTGAGATAGGAGAATTAATCTATGTATATTAGAAGGATTCAATAGAATATAGTATGGAGTGCAACTAGAAAAGGCTATCTGAGTTGCAGTCTCGACTCCTCTGCCAACTAGGCTCCTTTCTATTGACATGGCCTGGTGGCAAAGGTAATAGTAATCGTCATTATATGAAAGTGATCGGTCAACATGGCTAGTTAATCAGACTTATCACAAGTTACCTAAAACCCGAGTAAAGCC